CCTCCATTCTCCTCTCAGGATCTTGGGCACGCACGCACACATGCCTGGTAGGAGTTTAAGCCGCCGGGTGCGGGACTCGAACCATGGTAGACTACATGGGAGTCCAGCAACATAGCCATTATGCCAACTGCTGGTCCCATAATTTTATTTATTTATTTTTAATTTACTATAGGGCATGTGTGCTCACCAGAGAGAGAAAGTGAAAAAGAAAGCTGCCAGGTTTGAGACTCGAACCACGGTTGGCCATGTGGTATTCCAGAGCCTTATCTCCATAACCACCTTCTAGCCCTGGCCATTCATTATTTACTTCTCTGGCTCTCCCTGAACTCCAAGCTCCTGGAGGGCAGGAGCTATTTGACCTGGCAACCCTGGCGCCAGCCATGTTCTGGGCCCTTGGTGACATTCAGTAAATAGCTGGTAGAATAAATAATAAATCTATATATAAATAATAAATCTCTCTTAAGGACCAGTCTAGAGCTACTGTCTGAAGGGTTGCTTTTTGACTCTCAAGTCAGACTGTTGAGAAATATTTATCATTTCCTGTATGCCAGGCACTCGAGACACTGCAAGTGACAACAAAGGCCCCATCCCTGTGCTCCAGGAGGAAGAGAGACTTTCAAGTCATGAAGGATGAATTTAATAAATTCAAGAATGTACTGTGTGAACCAATTAAGCCTAACCTGATATTTATAGAGCATCACACCAAACCAACTGCAGTGTGTACTTTCGTTTCTATTGCATATATCAATAGAATGTGGATTAAGATGTGCCGAGCCACACGCCCACGCACAAATGTCAGTAGCTGGTCAGGGCACCACACACCTGCAATCTCTGCTGCTTGGGTGGCTGATATAAGAGGATCACGAGTTCAAGGTCAATCTGTGCAACATAGCCAGAGCGTCAGAAAAACAAACCAAACGTATCAATAAATTTCAGAGGACTGATTTTTACACACTGCATACATGCTTTGAAAAATTGTACTGTACCCCACAAAGATAGAAAACGATTATATGTAAATCAGAAATCAGCTTCAAAAAAAATCTTTTTTTTGGGAACCAGCAGTTAGCGTAATGGCTATGTCGCTGGACTCCCACGTAGTCGACCGCGGTTCGCGTCCTGGACCCGGTGGCTTAAAACTCACGCTGGGCGTGTGTGCGTGCGTGCCCAAGATCCTGAGAGGAGAATGGAGGAGAAGGGATTGCGGCGTGACCATCCCCCCTGGGGGGTGATTTCTCGCTTTCTGTCGCTAATGTCTCTCTCTGTCTGTCTGGCGAGCGCACGCGCCCTATAGTGAAAATCTCTCCAAAAAAAAAATATATTTTTTTTTAAAGTTTGAAATGGGGACCAGCAGGTCATGTGATGATTAAAGGTGCTGGATTCCCGCATGGCTGACCGTGGTTCAAATCCTGGACCTGGTGGCTTGCTTTCTTCCTTTCCCTTCCTCTCTGTCTCTCTCTGGCCAAGTTAAAAAATAATAACAAATGGAATTAAATAAATAAATAGTTATTTTAAAGAGTTGAAATTATATTGGTATATTCTTTCACTGTGAAGTAATTAAGCTAAAAGTCACAGTAAGTTATCCATAAAGCCCAAGTATTTAGAAATTATTTCCAAATTATCAAAGGGGCATAGAAAAAAATCACAAGGTTGGGACCAGTAGATGGTGTAATGGCTATGTCGCTGGACTTCCATTTAGTGGACTGTGATTCGAGTCCCAGACCTGGTGGCTTAAGCTCATGCCGAGTGCATGTGCATGCATGCCCGAGATCCTGAGAGGCAAATAAAATAATTTAATGGTCCTGAAGCACAATATATAAAACTGTATGGGATGCATTTAGAGCAGTACTTTGAAGGAAAGGTATAGTATTAGAAGATAAAAGCTTAGGGGCTGGCAGTTGGCATGGTGGTTGAGGGCGCTGGACTCCCACATGGCCGACCATGGTTCGAGTCTTGGACCTGGTGGCTTGCTTTCTCACTTCCTCTCTCTGTCTCTCTGATCAAACTGGAAAATAATAATGATAATAATAAATAAAGTTAGAAAAAAGAGAAGATAAAAGTTTAAAATGGGCTGGCAGGTGGCATGGTGGTTAAGGGTGCTGGATTTCCACATGGTCAACTGTGGTTCCACATCCTGGACCTGGTGGCTTACTTCCTCACTTTCCCTTTCTCTCTCTCTCCGTCTTTTTCTCTGGTAAAATTTAAAAATAATAGCAAATGGAATTAAATGAATAATTATTTAAAAGAAAAAAAGAAGAAGATGAAAGTTTAAAATCAACAACGTGGGCCAGCAAGTGGCATTGAGATTCAGGCACTGGAGCCCACATAGCTGAATTCATGGTCTGAGTCCCGGACTTGGCGTATTGAAAAGCACACCAAGTGTGTGTGCATCTGTGCCCAAAATCCTGAGAGGAGAATGGAGGCGAAGGGATTGTGTAGTGGCCATCCCCACTGGGAGGCGGGGGTGGGGGTGGGGGTGTGATTTCTCACTTTATCTGTCTCTCTTTTTCTCTGACAAGTGCACATGTCCTGTAACAAAACAAAAATGGTTTAACAATAAAAGCTTTCATGTTAAGAACTTGGGAAGGGCCAGCTAGTGGCATAGTGGTTAAGGGAGCTGGATCCACACGACTGACTGCACTGTTCAAGTCCCAGAACTGGAGGCTTGGAAAACACACTGGGCACCTGTGCACGTAGACCTAAAATCTCGGAAGGACAAATGGAAAGGAAGGGATTATGACATGACCATCCCCCATGGAGGGGAGTTCTTTCTCACTTTCCCTCTCTCTGTATCTCTCTGTTGAGTGTGCACACCCTCTGGCAAACTAAGTAAATAAGTAAACCAGAAGCCAAGAAAAGAAGAGCAAATTAAAATAACTAGAAGAAAGAAAAAAAATAGTTAAACAAGAATCAATAAAATACAAAATAGAGAAAACAATAAGGCCAAAAGTTGGTACTTTTAAAATAACAAAACACTGATTAACCCCTGGCAAGACTAATCAAAGAGAAGAGACTATACAAATTACCATTGGCAAGAAAGAGAAGGGACACAACTACAGACCCTACAGGCATTCAAAGGATAATAAGGGAATAAGAACTTGTTGTTAGAAGACATTTACACTCTCTA